CTGACATGCCGGACGTGCTTCTGATGAATATCAGCTTCGTGAAACTTTTTGTAATCGTGGGCGTGTTCGAATGTGCACGAAAGAACAGTTTATACCGATAGGATCTCCTCCGCAGGTGCCGTCATTCGGCCTTAGTATTATTTATATTTTTGCGATGTTTGCTTTATTACATTTGCTAATCTCTTTTCATGGGTGTCTTGGAATATTTTAAAGCAAATCTTAAATATATGTATAAAATATATATAAACTCTTATCTGTAAATATTTCAGGATAAACAACATTAACGTGGACGATGATGTTTCCCTGAAACTTTGTTACTGCTCCGAAGGAGAAGGTGGTCGTAAATGCTGTAGCCCGAGAGCTTCTGAATTGGTGTTCACCATGTGCCTTGGGGTCCCTCATTCTCTGGCCACTTTTCTCTGTGAAACTTTGAATTGAATAGCTCACTGTGACATCCTTTGGCCTTTACTCAGCAAGAATGCATCATTTATTTGGATCTTTCCTTGCTCTTTTCTCCTTGATGTCTCATTTCCTTTTTTTGCTTTTTTTTTTTTAATGTTTATTCATTTTTGAGAGAGAGAGAAAGAGAGAGAAAGAGAGAGAATGAGTGGGGGAGGAGCAGAAAGAGAGGGAGATACAGACTCCAAAGCAGGCTCCAGGCTCTGAGCTGTCAGCACAGAGCCCGACGCGGGGCTCGAACCCACGAACCACGAGATCATGACCTGAGCCAACGTCGGACGCTTAACCGACTGAGCTGCCGAGGCACCGCTCCTTTTTTTGCTCTTGACCTAATCTCAAACATGAATGCAAGTGCGCCCTCTGAAATTCAGATTATTCAGATACACATTTATTTTTCCTTGTCAGAATGAAAACACTAAGTGAAAAAAAATCTTATCATAAATTCTCAGACCCTATAATATTGGCATTAAATTGAAACATTTAAGTAACCCCGGATGCTGGTGAAAGTGTTTGTGTTGGGAGATGCATTAACTGTGGGCTTTTCAGGAAGGCTATTTCTTCTGTCAAAAATGAAAATTTTGACCTAGGAGCTTTAAGAATGGCATCCTACATATATTCTTATGTAGTTCTGAAAAAGGGAATACGTACAAGCATAGTCACCGAAAAGTACTTCTGGAGATAACGCCAGTGCCCGTGAGCTGTTAAATGGAAGATGTCTAAGAGCCTCTGTTAACGAAAAAAAGTTGAATTGCATAACAGTATTTCTATCACAATCTCCTCTGTATATAGAAAATAAAATTGCACGTATCCAGTTTGCATTGTGTTTGGATACTGGTAACAGACAAGAAATGAAAGTGGCTTAATGAAGACAGAGGCTTCTTTTTCTCGCATCAGTGCTGCCTCGAGGTTGGCAGTCTAGGGCTGGTATGTCGGTGCCCTGCTGTCATGGGGGACCCAGCCCTCTCTCTTCCTTTTCCACCAACCTGCCTAATGATTTCCATTCTCAAGGTTCCCTCTGGGTCTGAGACGTCTGTAGTAGCCTTTAAGTCTTTGTGGGAGTTAGGAAGAGTGAGGACAGGTAGAAAGGCCAAAATAGGACCCCTTCCAGCTGATTCCATCCCTTTAAGCAGCCTTCCGAGAAACCCAATACCACATTTCTGTTTATACCCTTCGATTAGCACACAGTCACATGGCCACATGAGATTACATAAAAGGCAGAGAACCCTAGTGGTTTATTTGGGGTGACAGTCAAGGTCCTGGTGCGAAGGAGAAAGGAATCATGGGTGTTGGGTAAATGTAGCCGGGTCTGTCACTATATAAATATGCTTTCAGGCATGATGGCACAGAATACTTCTGTAAGCACCCATGAGAGCCCGTTACCCCTGGGTACCCTGGGGAGCAGAGTAGGAGGAGAGAGTGAGGGGAGGGAGAGCGTCTGCCTTTTACCTTATAGCCGGCTGTACTGTTGGAGATTTCTTTCTCAGGAGCACGTTTTACTTCTACAATTGTGGTAAAGAGAAACTCAACAACCACGGAAACCCATGGTTCATTAAGGAAAGTATTAGATCATCTATCTGATAATCCATAGTGTGCCACAGTTTCATTGTTAATGTGTTTCTTGGTGGCAGGAAAGTATTACGGTAACTCCTTAAGAGGACCTGAGGAGCAAGCCGGAACGTCCAGGCTTAGGAATCATTATGGTCCCAGAAGGAAGTGGGACAGATGTGTTTTGAGGTTTCTTGTGACCTTTGTATTCTGTGACGTACTGCATTTATGGAGTAAGACTGGGCTTGGTATGAATTCTCAATTCTGCTGACCAACAGTGCGCATTAAGAATGCTTACTGGGGGCACCTGGGTGGCTCAGTTGGTTAAGCATCCGACTTCAGCTCAGGTATGATCTCACAGTTCATGGGTTTGAGCCCCGCGTTGACCTCTGTGCTGACGGCTCAGAGCCTGGAGCCTGTTTCAGATTCTGTGTCTACCTCTCTCTCTGCCCCTCTCCCACTCGCTGTCTGTCTCCCTCTCTCTCAAAATTAAATAAACATTAAAAAAAAAAAAAAAAAAAAGAATGCTTACCTGATGATGGGCCCTGGTGTCACTGAGAAAAGTGGCTCCTTTCTAAGGTATAACCACAGTAGGAAGTAGTAAAACATAAAGCATAAAATAAAAGTGTGTGTTTCACGGACATCTGTGTATTCATGTATATTAATAGGGATTTATATAGGGTAACTTAAATGAATCCTCTGACCTTTATAAATAGGTATAAAATTTTATTGACTCAAGGAGGGCTTTTGGAATTTATGCCTAATGGTTTTGCTGGGAACTGTTTCCTCGTTCAGGTAATATGTTCTGCGCTTTTAACGATCCTGTGGTTTCCTGTGGCCCCATACGGAGTACAAGCCATTAACATGGTTTCCAGTGTGCCATTTTGGAAAGGCGGTGTTTTGCGCCTCCGTACCTGGCTTCTGTAAAACAAACTATTTTCAACCATTTGTTCGGTGTGGTTTGAACATATGAGTATATATATGGCTCCGATGAATCAAGAATAACTTCGTGTCCAGCGGCTTGCTTTTCCAGCAGTGTTTATTGGGCGTATATTGGCACAGGGGATTCAGTTGTTACAGTTAAGAGCAGTTGGTATGCTTCTTACTCTGTAGGAGTTTAAAGTCTGTAATAAACAGTAGCAACATAGCCAAAGGTAAACGAAACCAAATTAACCCCTTCTGGCTGGGGAATCCCACCGTTCCGCTGAGCTCAATCGTCATCTGCGTGATTACGTCCGCACGGAGGGTGCGTCTCCATTTCTGTCCGGATAGACGTGTGACATTTGCTGTCAGTGCTCAGTCCCATGCTTTGAGAGCTGGGAAAAAAAACCACCTTGAGCCTCTACAGTGGTTCTCCTTTTTTGAATCATTGACTCATTGGAGAACCTGGTAAAAAGTGTGTATCTCCCTGGTAGAATAAATGACACCGTCTACACAAACTATTCGCGTATGGGTTTACAAGGTTCCTGGACCATTTAATCCCGTCGACAGAGAAGTCCTGATGCTGAGCAGCTTCTCATTTTCATAGATGAATAAGCTGAGACCTGGAGAAACTGAGTGAATTCCTGATAGTGATTTCATGCACATTTTCAAGATTCCACAGCTGCACTTTGGGGTCTCTAAAACACAGTGCGTTGTGGCCAATGTCCTGTGGAAATGCCCGGTGCTCTACCCAAGAAAACACATCCCGGCAAAAACGTTCATCAGTGAGAAGTGTTAAAAGATTGAAAAATAGGAGCAGTGAAAATTTCCTCAACTCTGTGCAAGTTAAAGCCAGGTGTCACTGAGAAAAAGTTACTTTCTTTTTTCTTTCTTTTTTTTTTTTAAAGTTCATTTTTTTTGAGAGAGAGAGTGAGAGAGCACAAGCAGGTGAGAGGCAGAGAGAAGGAGAGACAGAATCTTAAGCAGGTTCTACGCCATCAGTGCAGAGCCCCATGTGGGGCTTGAACTCATGAACCGTGAGATCGCGACCTGAGCCGAGATTAAGAGTCAGACACTTAACCAACTGAGCCGCCCAGGTAGCCTGAAAAGTGGCTCTTTTTTAAGGTACAACCACAATGGGAAGTAATAACATATAAAGTATAAAAGGGTGTGTTTCACTGACATCTGTGTATTCATATATATTTATAGGGGTATAAATAGGGTAATCTAAATGAATCCTCTGACCTTAGAATCTGTAACCTGAAAATAGGGAAAGAACAGGGAATAAGTTAAAAAAAATTTTTTTTTAATGTTTAAGAGAGAGAGAGGGAGAGACAGAGCCTGAGTAGGGGAGGGGCAGAGAGAGAGGGAGACACAGAATCTGAAGCAGGTTCCAGGCTCTGAGCTGTTAGCACAGAGCCCGACACGGGGCTCAAACCCACGAACTGTCAGATCATGACCTAAGCTGAAGTCGGACACTTAACTGACTGAGCCCCCCGGGTGCCCCAATGTGTATTTATTTTTAAGAGAGAGACAGAGTGCGAGTGGGGGAGGGACAGATCGAGAGGGAGACACAGAATCGGAAGCAGGCTCCAGGCTCTCAGCTGTCAGCCCAGAGCCCGACGCGGGGCTCGAACCCATGAACTATGAGATCATGACCTGAGCTGAGGTTGGATGCTTAACCAACTGAGCCACCCAGGCGCCCCAGGGAATAGGTTTTATATGCGTGGTGTGTGGCTGACCTCACCCTGTGCTGCACTGGGGAGCTGTCGGGGTTAAGCCTCCACCCCCACTCCCAAACCTAGGTTCAGCCACGGGACCATCTTCCCTTCCTCCTTATCTGGTGTTAGGGAGTATCTAGTACCTGTCGGAGACCAGTTGTCTGGGATGAAGGTCATGCAGCCTGAGCCGTGGCCTGAACACAAACGTTGCAAAAATGTGCATTTGCAGTCACACTGTGTTTTGTGCTTTTGGTAGAAATAGAAGGGCCTGACTTCTCCGTTTTCCTTCTTCGCTTATTTTGAGAGGCCGAAACGTGGCACAATTGACATTTCCCCCCTCCTTTTCCTTGACAGCATCTCCTGGGCAGTCCGCAGCCGTCTTCTGTCCAGCTCTGGGTCTCCTTTGGCCGGAAGCCCATGCGAGCGGCCCAGTTTGTCACAAGACATCCTATTAATGTGAGTAGGGTCCGCTTGGGGGTGGAAGGAAGTGTATCGTCCCCATGTAGGGTTCGGGGGAAGGGTGTTGGAGGAATGTCCTTCTGGGTAGGCGTTGGATGGAATCCCCCTGCATTCACTTGCTAGATGGGTCTCTAGAACCATTATGTTTTGGCCATCTTGGTCTGTTTTCTCCGTCTTCCCTGTTTGAAGCACAACTCAACGGGAGCCTTCATTTGCTTTATGTGGAGAGGGATTGGCAGGGAGGTTTGGGACCGGAGTCCGTGGGCTCAGTGTGCCAGTACTAAAGGATTGGGGAGCTAGTGACCACAGTTATTGATGAGGCACCTGCTGTGTTGCTTACAGATGGCCGGGTTCCAAAACAGGATAAGATTTGGGTCCCACCCTTTTAGAAACACACAGGTGGGACATGCGGAGAATCGAGCCGAGGAGGAAATCATATGTAGTCAAACGCTTGACTCCCGCATGTGTGCGTTAGCACGTAGAGATCAGTAGGGACGATTAGCGTCGGCTGGGGTCATCAGAGAGGTGACCACAGGCAGGAGGTGGCATTTAAAAAAAAATTTTTTTTTTTTTACGTTTATTCATTTTTGAGAGAGAGAGAGAGAGACAGAACATGAGCGGGGGAGGGGCAGAAAGAGAGGGAGACAGAATCTGAAGCAGGCTCCAGGCTCTGAGCTGTCAGCACAGAGCCTGATGCGGGGCTCGAACTCATGAGCTGTGAGATCATGACCTGAGCCAAAGTCGGATGTTCAACCGTGGGGCTTGAACTCACGGACCATGAGATCAACACCTGAGCCAAAGTTGGGTGCCCAACCGACTGAGCCACCCAGGCTCCAAAGGTGGCATTTTTTTTTTTAATGTTTATTTATTTCGAGAAAGAGAGAGAGAGAGTGCATGTGCCTGAGTGGGGGAGGGGCAGAGAGAGAGAATCTCAAGCAGGCTCCATGCACAGCCCAACACCAGGCTCAATCCCTTGAGATCATGACCTGAGCCAAAACCAGTCGGACACAACCAACTGAGATTCCCAGGTGCTCCAGGAGGTGGCATTTGAAGGCCTTGCCTCTAGCAGCGGGCGTGGTGGCAGCTGGTAGCTTAGGTGGAGAACATTCTTATAAATTCTTTGCTTTTTATGGGTTCCGCCTTCCTTTGGTACCTTAGAGACAATGCAAGGAAAGGAAATGCACATTAATGTGTATCGTGCTTTGTACTAATGATAGATCTCCTGGGAAAAAGAGGGAGGAGACATTATTAACTACAAAGAGGTTCTAAGGTCATTTACGGAGTCCGGCGGCCCACTCTTTCGTGCCCCATTTGCCGGTAAGGGGCTTACTCCAGCTACAGGGCATCCTCAGCCCCTCGACAGAGAAAGCTGGCCAAGCCTTCACCAAGCTTTGGAAGCTGTCCATGGGCTCCGGGCCTACGCCTGTCCTTGGGACATTTGGAAGTCATTACTTTAGCGTCCATAAGGAAAGCCCACTACGCGGCTGTGTTTTTTGACTTGTGCGTTTTTTGGTTCTTGATTCCAAAGGAATATTACATCGCAGATGCCTCCGAGGACCAGGTATTTGTGTGCGTCAGTCATAGTAACAGCCGCACCAACTTGTACATCTCGGAGGCAGAAGGGCTGAAATTCTCCCTGTCCTTGGAGAACGTGCTGTATTACAGCCCAGGAGGGGCGGGCAGTGACACGCTGGTGAGGTAAGATGATGAGTCCCTCCCCTGCTTTCTTACATCGCTGCAGCCCCCACCATCACGTTGGGTGTTTTTCAACGTTACCTGAGCATCTGGACTCACCTGGTGAGTTTTTGGAAAGCCCGATGCCTGGCTTGTGGTGCTGTTTAACCACTTTGGGGTGTGGCTGGGGTAGGGAGATTAAAACAATTTTTGGGTAATGTTTATTTATTTTGGAGAGACAGAGCACAAGTGGGGGAGGGACAGAGAGAGAGGGAGACACAGAATCTGAAATAGGCTCTGAGCTGTCAGCGCAGAATCCGATGCAGGGCTCGAACTCGGGAACAGCGAGATCACGACCTGAGCCAGAGTCAGACGTTTAACTGACTGAGCTATCCAGGCGCCCCTGGGATATGAAGATGTTAAAAAGCCCTCGGGGGGATTTGGATGTGATGCCAAGGCTGAGCATGTGTCAACCCCTCCCTGGGTTCCCGTCCTTCAGTTGTCTGGCTTTGTGGTCTCTGAGTAAGTGGGAAGAAGCACTTGGAAAATGTCAAGCTGTCATGGGTAGGCTGGTGTGGGTAGCCATGGGGCCTGGCCTCCAAGTGACTCAGGTTAATTGACATTTTTTTTTTTTTTTCTTACTGTAATTGCAAACATTACTCTGTGGGTGTCTATGGAAAGGGACCCGTCTGGTGAAGCTGGCTGGAGGGCAGCGAGGTCTGGCTCTGAGGCCACGACCACCAGGTCAGAGGGCTTGGGATTGCCGTCCATGGTCTCATCAGGCTGGTGATTGATGTAGTCACCACTTCTCTCAACAAGGACACTGCTGCTCTGGGCCAGAGCTTGTTCCAGGCACCGCAGTGAGATCACGTGACCAGTGACGAAAAGGCAAAACAGGGCCCCTGTTCCATGGAGCTTTTGTTCTCACTGGGGGAAGACAGAACATAGACGGATATGTGATTTGCGGGGTGATGGGGAGTGCTGGGAAGCAAAGTGAAGTAAGTTCAGAGGACGGGATTGTGAGCGTGTTGTTTCGTATAGGCTGGTCATGGAAGGCTGTTCTAGGACAGTGACATTTCAGCAGGTGCCTGAGTTATGTGAGGGAGGGAAGAGGCAGGTACCTGGGGAAGGGCACTGCAGGCAGAGGGAACAGCATGCACAGAGGCTGTGAGGTTGGGCGCTGTTGTTTTATTTTAGGAGCGGTGAGAAGGCCAGAGTGGATCCAACAGCTGGAGGAGGAGGGAGAGAACCCAAGATACGGGATCTAAGAGAGCAGGGCTCAGACTGTAGAAGGACTTCGAGAGCATGCAGAGAACTTGCTTTTTCTTCTTTCTAAGCGGAATGTGGAGGGTTTTGACCGGAAGATGGACATGGTCTGATTTAACCCATTACGTTTTTTAAAACCATTTTAAACACTGTGAATTGCATTATATAAAGGAGAGCACACGAAACATAAGTGGACAGTGTTATCAATAATTTCAGGTGAACACTCCTGTGACTTATCTTTGAAAGAAGCCATCTGGATGCTGTGTGCAACGTAAACTCTGGGAAGATTCTGGGAAGCAGAATGGGAAGATTCTGGGAAGCAGTGTTAGAGAAATCCGGGCCAAGTGGGGATTGCTGTGGGCTGGGCCCAGGGCAGTAGTGGCGGAGATGAGGGAAATGGGCAAATTCTGATCCTTTGCTGGTAGATTTGCTGCTCGGCTCTGGAGAATCAAGGGCCCACTGCTGCCTGGGCTGGGCCATTGGCAGAATGATGCCTGGTGCGGAGTCAGGGAGTCAGGGAGGGCTGGGTGAAGGGCAGGTGTTGGGGGAAAAAAGCAAGACTTCGGATTTGGACTCACCAGGTCGGCTGTGCCTGTTGGATGCCCACGGGGAGACCTTTCTTCGTGGTCTCTGATAGTGCTTTTCCACTCCGTTTCGGCTCTTTTGGAGGTGTGTCCTATTTTATGCCTTACTTCCCCCCCCCCCCCC